CCTGGTGACTAAAGTGGTGGCCGTGGATGTGGACTCTGGCCAGAACGCCTGGCTCTCCTACAAAGTGCACAAAGCCACCGACAGGGCGCTGTTTGAAGTGGGCCTTCACAACGGAGAAATCCGAACTGTCCGCCAAGTGACTGACAAAGATGCTGTCAAACAAAGGCTGACTGTTGTCGTGGAGGACAATGGGCGGCCCTCTCGCTCAGCTACGGTCATTGTTAACGTGGCGGTGGCCAACAGCTTCCCTCAAGTGCTGTCAGAGTTCACTGACTTGAGCATGCACGACAAGGAGTACAATGACCAGCTGACTTTTTACTTAGTCTTGGCGCTGGCGGTGGTCTCCTTCCTCTTCATCACCTGCTTGCTGCTTATCATATCGGTTAAAGTGTACAGATGGAGGCAGTCTCGCGTCCTGTACCACTCCAACCTGCCTGTCATTCCGTATTGTCCACCAAGATACTCGGATACTTTGGGGACGGGCACTCTCCCACACTTGTACAATTACGAGGTGTGCAGGACCACCGACTCCAGAAAAAGTGACTGTAAATTGGACAAAGCTGCTTGTCACAACATGCTGGTCATGGATCCCAGTTTTACAGGGACCATGCAGAAGATGCAAAATGAAAAGAACATCCTGGATGAACCCGACTCTCCTCTTGAGGTTGGTCACTTGTGGCTTAATTGAATCCCACAATATTTTTTTGTATTTTTCATTAATATAAATTCATGTTTGTCGATTACAACAATATAGCCACCAGGCATATTTCAGTTGTTTTTGAGACTCCATTATGTCATCCACCTGCTATTATAAAATCATCTCAAAACAATTACTAAACATCTTTAGCACAAGACATATCAAACTATTTCTTATACCATATTTTCATCCAAATGTGCATTCGGAATTGTCTGTCCAACTAAGGTTTTATGTCAAGATTAAATATCTTCCCAAAAAACAGACACCGGCATTATTTCATTCAGCAAGATAAATGGACGTATATCAATAAATCTTAAAGCTTGTAAGCATAATTCAGTGTTTAAGGTTTATCACCACTTGAGTTTGACCCTTTTGCAGAGCCTGACTCAGTTCAAAATGTAGTCGCATGGCTCTTCTGTCTCCATGACTCTGTGTTGGCTCATGTTGTCTGGTTGCAGGTTACAGACTTTTTGATCCCAAAATATATTCTGGAATTTTCAATGTTAAATAGGTGAGTCGAGCATAAGTCATAGGGTTGGTCATGCTGTTGTTATTGTATTAGTCGGCTGTCTGTCCTCTGGTGTCAGTGCCTTGGAGAGAAATGTGTTTAATCCTTCAAACCTGTCATTTTTCACACTTAGAAATTTCACACGCTTCCCTGAGTATATTTTCAATTGTATAAATACCTGTATGTATACAGTCCATCTTACATATATATATATATATATATATATATATATATAGTGTGTGTGTGTGTGTGTGTGTGTGCAAGAAGGACATTGGATGAATATATATATATTGTGTGTGTGTGTGTTAGTTACGTGATGGAATTGAGCTTTTCTGCGTGAATGGGGCGTGAACGCGTCCAGCACCATGGACAGTGACAATGCGGTTATTGCCTCACAGCTGGAAATCGCTCTTTCCTTCCAGCGTCAATTTCCACTCATTTCTCCTTTGCAATAGCCTCCGTAGCCTGAATTAAAATTCTACCATAACGTGACCAAATCGATACATTGTATGCTGTCATTGCACTATTGTTTATCCTTCATATACATTTTATGAGAGTGGAAATGCTCTTACTTTTTTTATGCATCTTTTTTTATGTACATTTGGATGCATTTGGAATTACAGTTCAATATAGTGTATGCCTTTTTAATTTTATTTATTTGAGCTGCACTTGCACAGTTTGAGCTCTACGGGACGCTGTTGGCTCATGTTTTTCAATTGGTCTGTTGAAAGCTTTTGTCAGATTTCACCCCTGTACGTTGACGAAACACCGAGTCAGTTTGTGGAAGCGCTGCATCGCGAACGGATATTTCACGCAGGATCCAAACTATATTCCCGTATTTGGATTACATAGCATTCCCCCCTTCATTTTGTGGTCTAAATTTGATGGAACTAGTGACATAAACGGAATATAGGACCGTGTCTTTTGTGCAGCTGGGACAATGAGACGGCAAGTACTGTTAATGTTCATCTTCTGCCTTCGTTCCGCGACAGGGCAGGTCACTTACTCCATTCCGGAGGAAATGGGAAAAGGATCTTTAATCGGTAGCATAGCCCGAGATTTAGACTTAGACGTCAAGAGGCTAAAGGCGGGCAAAGCGCGCATTTACACGGGAGACAGCGCTCAGTATATCGAGTTGAACAGGGAACGAGGAGTCCTCCTTCTCAAAGAAAGAATAGACCGCGAGTTGCTTTGCAAGCAGACGACGCCTTGTGCGTTGCATTTCCAAATAACGCTTGAAAATCCCTTGGAATTATTCCCCATCACGGTGGAAATTACGGACATTAATGACAATGCGCCAGTATTCAAAAAAGACGAGAGAAATTTTGAAATAAGCGAATCCGCCGTCGTGGGCTCCAAATTCATGCTGGAAAAAGCGTTTGATGCTGATATAGGATTGAATGGTCTTCAGAAATACACCCTGAAGCCGAGCGACAGTTTTGCGCTGAAACTGCACAGTCAGTCGGACGGCAGCAAAAAGGTCGAAATGGTTTTACAAAAGCCGTTAGACAGAGAAAAACAAGAGCACATATCTTTGGTTCTGACGGCCGAGGATGGAGGAGAACCACAGCTGACGGGAACAATGCAGATCCACGTCACTGTGTTGGATGCAAATGACAATGCGCCAGTATTTAGTAAGGCTGTGTACAAAGCAAGCATCACGGAGAACTCCGCTGTAGGGACACTCATTACTAAAGTGAGCGCCACAGACGCAGATAAGGGAGCAAACGGAGAAGTGATGTATGTAATAGGGAATAGCATGGATACTGTGTCGAAGCTATTTCACATTAATACAGAGGGTGACGTCATCCTGAATGGTCCAGTCGATTATGAAAAAGAGAAAAACTATCACATTGACATAGAGGCTATTGATCAAGGGGGGCTCTCCGATTCCAGCAAAATAATAATTGATGTAATTGATGTCAATGACAACAGCCCCATTGTGAATATGATTTCATCATCTGGCTCAGTGTCAGAAGATTCCCCCGTCAGAACTGTGATAGCTTTAATGAGTGTCAGTGACCCTGATTCTGATGCGAATGGGCAGGTCAATTGTGTTATTGGGGAAAATATTCCATTTGCAATAAAAAATACGAATAATAATTTCTATAGATTAGTGACAGACAGTGATTTAGACAGAGAGAGGGCATGTGAGTATAATATCACAGTGATGTGTTCTGATGAGGGCGTGCCTTCCCTCTCCAGCAGCGTCACTCTCACCTTACACATCACAGATGTCAATGACTACGCGCCTGTCTTTGAGAGGAGCTCATATGAGGCCTACATTGTGGAAAATAACACACCAGGTGTTTCCGTATTCACCGTGAAAGCCAGTGATGCTGATTGGAATCAGAATGCTCGTGTTTCATACATGCTGGAGGACTCCTCGATTCACGGCGTGCCAGTCTCCTCATATGTTTCTGTTAGTGCCGAGAGTGGAGTCATCCATGCAGTGCGTTCTTTTGACTATGAGCAACTGAAAGAGTTCCATTTCCGCGTCAGAGCGCAGGATGGAGGCTCCCCTCCCCTCAGCAGCAACGTGAGCGTTCGCATCCTGATCCAGGACCAGAACGACAACGCCCCTCAGGTCCTGTACCCGGTGCAGACGGGCGGCTCACTGCTGGCTGAAATGGTGCCTCGTTCGGCCGATGTGGGCTATCTGGTGACGAAAGTGGTGGCCGGGGACGTGGGCTCTGGCCAGAACGCCTGGCTCTCCTACAAAGGGCACCACCTCTCGCTCAGCTACGGTCATTGTTCACGTGGCGGTGGCCGACAACTTCCCACAAGTGCTGTCAGAGTTCACTGACTTGAGCATGCACGACAAGGAGTACAATGACCAGCTGACTTTTTACTTAGTCTTGGCGCTGGCAGTGGTCTCCTTCCTCTTCATCACCTGCTTGCTGCTTATCATATCTGTCAAAGTGTACCGGTGGAGACAGTCTCGCGTCCTGTATCACTCCAACCTGCCAGTCATTCCGTATTGTCCACCACGTTACTCAGATACTTTGGGGACGGGGACCCTCCCGCACGTGTATAATTATGAGGTGTGCAGGACCACCGACTCCAGAAAAAGTGACTGTAAGTTGGACCGCGCTGCAAGTCACAACGTGATGACAATGGACCCTTGTTCTATAAGGACTATGCAGAAGTTACACAATGAAAAGAACATCCTGGACGAACCTGACTCTCCTCTTGAGGTTGGTCACTTCAAATGATTCTCATTTCATATTCCTAGCATTGTACAGTATTGCAGAGTTGTTTTGTGTACATGCACATCTGTCATGAATCATTAGTTTTTCTTTTTTGTTTTAAAGTGTTATTCATGCACTTTTAATTTGAATGTGAATACATTCATTAACTATGTGCAGAAACTGTCTCTTGTCGTAGTTTCACAGTTTTAGTGCCACAGAAAGAATTAAAGTTGGCAAAAAAAAAGCCCTGTAGCCCGTTTCACCTGCCATCTTTCACTTGAACATTAACCTCAAGAGAAAGTGATAGCTCACTTCAGTGAAACCTTCACAACACAAAAATCATGAGATGTTTACTACAAAACACATTTTGAAATACGTCACACCCAAGGCACTAATTTCTTTAAAACGTCAACTATAAATACACGCTGAAGTAAAGTATTGTATAGCATTTAGCCTTCAGTAACTTTTTTTAGAACGTTGTATCAATGTTAATGATAATTGTATGTCATAATGATACTCTCTTCTCATATTGCATTACATTTAATGTAAATGTTGACGATAGTGTGACATAATAATAATAATAATAATAATAATAAAAATAATAATAATACTTGTAAACACCCTTACTAATTCTATTGTTTAATTGGTAGGGAGAGGTCAAATCCTTCGTCTGTTTCACCGTGATGCCTTTATGGACAATTTGAACCACCCGTTTCGTTTTCCCAAAAATTAAGTTTTGCTTTTGGAACAGCCCATCTATTTTGTGCCACTGGTCCTGCAATTTCCATTTTGAACTCGCAGGGACGCTATTGTCCATGATGTGCCTTATATACCCGAGGTGCGTCCTTTCTTATGCGCAGCTAACAGGAAAAAAAAAGACAAACCAGACGACAGGCAGTCGGGACTGGAACATATATTTCGCTGGGACTATTTTGTGAATTTTTGGAGGAATTCTGCACTTCTTTTGTCATTACTGGGACATATTGTCTTTTGGGTTTGATTTATGCTGCCCAGTTGTGTATTTCTCTGTTTTGACCGTGAAGGCAAGGAGAACAATGAGACGGCAAGTAACGTTTTTCACCTCGTTGCTGTTCATCAGCGCCTCATTCGGGCAAATTAACTATTCCATTGATGAGGAAATGCGCGTCGGTTCCTTAGTGGGAAATATAGCCGAGGATTTGGGTATCGGCGTGGAAAGACTGAAGTCACGCAGCGCTCGTGTTTATTTTGGTGATAGCAAGCAATACATCGAGCTGAATAAAGACAGGGGCGTCCTCCTCATCAAGGAGCGTATAGACAGAGAGGCGCTTTGTGCACAGTCCGTGCCCTGTGCGCTGCACTTCCAGATTATTCTCGAGAACCCCATCGAGTTTTACAAAATAATCGTGGAAATTGTCGACATCAATGACAACGCCCCCGCCTTTGAGAAGGGTGACATCAAATTCAAAATTAGCGAATCTGCAGTGATAGGATCAAAATTCGATTTAGAGCGGGCGGTGGATCTTGATGTTGGAATTAATGGTCTCCAAACGTACCTTCTCCTACCTTCTGATAATTTTGCTTTAAAATTTCACAATCAAGCTGACGGTTCCAGGAGTGTGGAAATGGTTTTGAAGCAGGCTCTAGATAGAGAGAAAAGGGAACATTTGCCTCTCGTGTTGACGGCTGTAGATGGAGGAGAGCCGCAGATGTCGGGCACAATGCAGATTCTCGTTACAGTATTGGACGCCAATGATAATGCACCCGTTTTCACAAAGCCTGAATACCAAGCTACAGTTGCAGAAAATACACCTAAAGGCAAGGTGGTGACTGTTGTTAGTGCATCAGATGCTGATCACGGAGCCTATGGTAAAATAACTTATTCAATCAGAAATACAATGGATGATGTAAGACATTTGTTCAGTATAAATGAAAGCAGCGGTGAAGTCACTCTTATTGGAAATGTAGACTACGAAAAAGCTCGCACTTATCAAATTAATGTGCGTGCAAGTGACGACGGGGGACTGACAGACAGCTGCAAAGTCATAGTTGACATTGTGGACGTGAATGACAACAGCCCGGTAATCAACGTCATGTCCAAGACAAATGTCTTATCTGAAGATGTCAAAAGTGAAACTGTCGTAACAATAATTAACATTCATGACCAAGACGATGGTGAAAACGGCAATGTGGAATGCACAATAAATCCGAATATTCCCTTCCTTCTCAAGTCGACGAGACGTTTGTTCAGTATAAATGAAAGCAGCGGTGAAGTTACTCTTATTGGAAATGTAGACTACGAAAAAGCTCGTACTTATCAAATTAATGTGCGTGCAAGTGACGACGGGGGACTGACAGACAGCTGCAAAGTCATAGTTGACATTGTGGACGTGAATGATAACAGCCCGGTGATCAACGTCATGTCCAAGACAAATGTCTTATCTGAAGATGTCAAAAGTGAAACTGTCGTAACAATAATTAACATTCATGACCAAGACGATGGTGAAAACGGCAATGTGGAATGCACAATAAATTCGAATATTCCCTTCCTTCTCAAGTCGACTGATAGTAATTTCTATAGTTTGGTGACAGACGGTGATTTAGACAGAGAGCGGACGTCTGAGTATAATATCACAGTGACATGCTCTGATGAGGGCGTGCCCTCCCTCTCCAGCAACGTTACTCTCACTTTATTCATCTCAGATGTGAATGACAACGCGCCTGTCTTTGAGAGGAGCTCATATGAGGCCTACATTGTAGAAAATAACACACCAGGTGTTTCCATTTTCACACTGAAAGCCAGTGATGCTGACTGGAACCAGAATGCTCGTCTTTCGTACATCCTGGAGGACTCCTCAGTTAACGGAGTGCCAGTCTCCTCATATGTGTCAGTTAGTGCTGATAGTGGAGTCATCCATGCAGTACGTTCTTTTGACTATGAGCAACTGAAAGAGTTCCATTTCCGAGTCAGAGCGCAGGATGGAGGCTCCCCTCCCCTCAGCAGCAACGTGAGT